TTTACCATGTACTTGTGGGTGAAATTGTTATAGAAATATATTTTAGGTACACTAATCTCATCACTATGCACAATTATACATTTATTTTTCAGACAAGTGACCAGATCATCGGATGTAAACCTGAGACAGGAATTTCGCAAGACCTAGTAGAAGGTTGGTCTTTGACTGAACTTTGGCTCTTTACGCTGCCTCAAGTAGCTGTTGCCATCCTTTTCTGATAGGGGAAACTACAGGTTTTGGCAGCTATCTCCATTATAAAGAAGATTAGTTTCTTATACAGTTTTAGAGTCTGAAATGTGAGATATCAAATTATATGAGTGTTGTCAAATGGATCATATCAATGCAGTCTTCCTCTCCTTAGTACATGAGCAGACACCACGGGTAACTATAGGCATTTATAAATGAGGCTTTATTGGGGAACCGTTTCAAGAAAATGATTTGTTTGGCTGTTTCCCAGATTAGTAACATCTAGTTATTGGCGAGATCTCCCACTGTAACTGAAAACATAGCAAGAAGTGTTGAAACAAAAAGAACTTTAGAAATATGCTGGAAGTTTATTTTTACAAAAACAATTGCATCACTTCCTAGAAACAGAAGTACATGTCTTTTCAACCACTGGTTTTTCTTTTTAAGAAGTATGGCGGGGAATACATAAATACAGTGATGAAATGAAAAAATACAGCCAATGGAATTTTACTGGCACAACCTAAAATTCAGAATCACATTAACAATATGTGCAATAGAAACAAACACTGAACAATGTTCTATGGGATCATAAATAGCCTTGAGAGGCCTCCGCAGCAGGATCATGAACTGAGATCAACAGCTGGACTTTGACATCAAAAGGACTAGGAGAGGCAGGTGACCCCCAAACCAACGTGAAACTTTACTTAGTAGAGAAAGCAGAGGTACAATGCCTTGTTAGGCTCTTTTGAAGGTTTATCTACGTATGGGGACAAAATTGTAAATAAACGTCCCCAAATAAGCAAGTCTGACTCGAGAAGGCGTCGGGCGAACTACCATTCCCTCTGTGCCCGTAAGAGCATCACAAACATGCGCAAATGCCTCCTTGGTGGTCGACTTGGTTAATCCTTAACTATCCTCTTTCAAATAGGTAGCATTTGGTTTACCTTCAAACTTCAGCTGCTAGGTGAGCATATTGCTTTGATTTGGAAACTACCAGGGAAGACATCTGAGTTTTCAAAGCAGTGAAATCAACCTGAGTTGATAACATAAGGGCAGAAATTCCTACAACCTCCCACTCTCCCCAACATGCACAGAGCAATCTGACTTCTGACTAACTTGATCACTTAAAATATGATTCCAAACAACACAAATATCTTTCCAACACTTGTTTTATGAGCACTGTACTTTTTATTTGTTTATAAGAACAGCCTCCAGATAGTTCAGTATCAGAAATGTGATAGCCTTTGAATTATCTTTCCTAATTGGAGCCAGAGCTGGCATGTATCACTGAGATTTTATTCAATCCCTAAACCTGTTGAATCCCAGAAGCAACATCATGTAGCTCTTATGATTTTGGAGTTTGGATTTGGCTTCTTCCCTAAATCAACCAACCCTTCTGTTATGGGAGAAATTATTCACCCCTAACCAAAGTCACATATTAAAGTTCTAATTCCCAGTGCCTCAAAATGTGACCTTACTTGAAAACAGGGCCATTGCAGATGCAGTTAATTAAGATAAGATCATACTGGAATACAGCAGGCTTCTAATCCAGTATGACTGGTGTCCTTATAAAAAAGGAGAATTTTGGATATGACACACATATACATGGAAAAACTTATGTGGGGTGATTTTTCTACAGGCCAAGAAATGCCAAAGATTGCCAGCAAACCATCAAAAGCTAGAGGAGTAGCATGGAACAGATTCACTCCCACACTCCATGTAAGAAACCAATACTACCAACTCCTTGACCTTGAACTTCAGCCTCTAGAACTGTGAGAGAGAAATTCTGTTGTTTAAGCCACCTACTCTGTGATATTTTGTTATGGGAGCCTTTGCAAACTAATGCACTTTCTTCACTGCTGTACCAGCAAATGGTCTCATTGGCTGAATAGTAATTCCCTTTTTATCTCTGCTTCTGTACATTAATATTTGCACATTAGCAGCGGTCCTGGGAGTTGGCCTTCAAATTGGTGCCACTTAAAAACGGACAATATCTTTAAGCATTGCTTGACCTTCAAAGGATGAAAAAGGTAAAACTTAAAAAGGAGAAAAAGACAATTTGTCTTTTCAAAAAACATGAACAGCTTGTTCAAAAGCATGTTGATAGAAGTGTGAGCCTCAGTCATAAGCAGAACCAACTAGGTAATCAAATCTTTATGGTGGAGCTAAGCAACAGGAGGATTTCAAATAGGAAAGTAAATAATGAAGTATCTTTGCTATAAGAAGGAGAAAGGGGCATGTTCCAATTACTTGGGAAACTAAGAGGGATCCAAAAAATCAAACTCCTCCTTAGTGATGTCTAGGGAAGAGCTGCAGTCAGCGCCTAGACTGAAGTCAGGATTTTCCTAGTCCTGGAAGAATGTGGGCTAGACGAATTTCCTAAATTGCAGTACACTTGCTACCTCAGCCCTCTGAGCCACATTTGTCATAGGTAGTCCTCAGACTTCAGTGTGCAGGGGAGAGTCACCCAGAGGGCTTCTGGAGCAAGATTGCTGGGCTCCAACCCCAGAGTTTCTGATTCAGTAGGTCTGGGGACAAAGAATTTTAATTTCTAACAAATTCCCAGGTGGTGCTAATGCTGTGGACTGGAGATGTTAATCTCAGAACTGCTGGACTACATCCATGTCAAGCCTGTCTGATGAGAACAATCACCTGGAAAGAGCTTATTTTTAAAAATACAGAATCCTAAGTCCCATGCCAAACTTTCTGACTCATAACCTCTGGAGAAGGGACTGTTTTCTATTTTAACAAACTTGAGGTGGTGAGTATGATTAGACATTTGAGAAATGCTACACCAAATCTCTGAGCTCCCTTTTAGCATCTGTCGTTTTCCCATGTGGTAGTAATGGAAGGGTTTCACATGTGGCAGCAGTTGTATGATGAATTAAGAGTAGTTCAACCACTGGGTTCTGTAATCCTAATCTACTCACTCAATATACTAACCACAGAACCCCAATCTTTCTTTTTATGCCCTGAGAGATAATCCTTAATACCAACTGACCCTGTACCAATGATGCAGTCCAGAAACCACTCTGAAATGGGGCCAGATGCTATAGCTTTTGCTGGCAATTCTACCACTTCTCTTTCCTTCTTTATTATCCCATAATCTGCATCTTGCTCCAAATATTCACGGGAGCTTTAGCCTCATGTCATTTCCCCTTTAAATGCTCACGCACTTACATGTGAGGTATGCTCTAGGACTTTTATTTTAAAACCAACTCCTCATTTTTTGCAGGAATATTCTTACTGGCACCTGCAGAAGAAATCCCATTGTTTCAGCAGCTGGCTTGATGATAATTCAAGTTACCTCTTTACAAGCTTGTTGGAGATTTGCAAAGAGCTTGTAGCGAAATTGTTTCAGATCCTATTATGCCCATGTTTTCTTTGACACATACAAAATTAATTCCTATTTCTCAGACCCAATTTCCAACCACTTACTCATAATTGAGGTACCCTGTAAATGGCTTCCTATGGATCACTTTTTACTTCTGGAGATTTATAGTGATCTTAAGAATATTTAGTAGTTTTAAGAGGCCCATGGTTGTGCTACTCCTAACTCATCATACAACTCCTGCCATATTACAACACCCATCCCGTGGTACCAAGGTATGGCCTTACACATATCATCTCTATTCTCTGTAGCAACATTAGAAGGTAGGTGTTACTTAACCTATTGTACACATGAGAAAACTGAGGCTAAGCAAAATTAAATAAAGAATTTTCAGTCCACACAACTACCTTGCATCAGTCAGGATGCAAATTCAGGATTGCCTAACTTCAAAGCCTGAGCTGCCTCTACGAGACTACTCTATTTTGCCTTTGAAGAAATGCTGGACCAAGTATGTCAATTTATAGTTTTCCTTAAGTTTCTAAGATTGCATTTAAACTAGTGCTGAGTAAGATTAGGTTGTAGCATCTTTCTCAGTTTTGTCTGTTACCTTCACAGACTCTCTGCCAAATCTAAGTGAAAATAAGAAACTAGTTCTGTGGTTGGGAAGCCAACAAGAGTACAGTTATTCAGAAAGTGGGGCTAATTACCTGCTTTCAGTAACAAAAGGATAGTTTAGGCCTTGAGTTATCTTAAATTATTGCTTTTGCTCAAACTCTCATAGTTGATTGCTGTCCATTTTCTTTCTGTTCTTTCTTTCACCTGCAAGGATTTACTGAATACCAAGTCTGTGCCATACACCAGACACAGAGATGAAAAACATATTCTTTGCCTCAGCTAGTAGAGAAGATGGGCAAAAAAAATCAGCAGATCATAACACAAACAGATGCTTTATCAAGAAGGTTTCCTGAAAGAAGTGGTACTTGAGCTGAAACTCATGCACAATGGGTTAAGGTTTATCACATAGAGAAGATGAGAAGGTGGTATCCAACATAGAAAAAACAGCATGTGCAAAGCACAAAGCCATGAGATGGCAGCTTGGCATTGCTAGAAAATAGAGTGGATATGGAATTGGAGACCAGAGGCTCAGCAAAGACTAGACTGCAGAAAGCCCAGAAAGCCCATGGTCAGAGTTAGGGTGTTCTGAAGGCCAAAGGAAAATATTAAAGATATCAGGATGGAAAATAACACAAACAGATGTTCACCTTATTAACAAAATATAACTCTGGCAGCAGATGTGGAGGGATCTGGAAGGCCCAAGACCAGAAGCTGGATACTGGTCACCAGGGTAACTCAGAGGGGAAATTCACTGCTTAGTTTAAGACCATGACAGTGAAGAGAGAGAGAGAATTGAGAAATATTTGTGGAATTAATATCATTAGATGATTGTTAGGTATATAAAAAAGAGATTAACTCAATCTTTTGATATTGTCCTTTTTTCCAAAGCTTTATTAAGAATATATTATTACATTTTCCCCATTCCCTCCACATTCTCTTAGTATGACATTTACTTAACTTTGCTTGGAACCCTATTTCTTACTCCTTACCAACCACAGCATGTCCCACTACCACCACCACAACCAACTCCATGTGTTTATGGAGCACATATCATTAAATCATACTTTGTCAGGTCTTGTAACAAATTTACATCCTTTTTTTCCCCTTCATTTCTATGAGTAGTCTCAGTTTGGTGTAATCCTGTATTTTAATGGTATTATGCTTTTTTTAGTGAGTCATTTCTTCTGCCCTTCCTGTGCCACTGTATTTCAGTGCTTATTACTTTCAATGTTTTCTATGTCTACCTGTAATTTTCTGTATTCTTTTCTTAAAATAATGCTGCATGAATATTTCTTATTCATTTCCAAAATGTTCAAAAAGGATTTAACATTTCAGGTGTAAGGTAAATCAACAAACTATTTGATAAAAACCATAATCAGCTCTCATGAACTTTCGCTAAGAAACCAACTAAAGACTATTGTCCATTTATTAAGGCTCCAGTGTACTTATTTCAAAAGACAGAACACTATACTTTGCTCAGAGTCATAAAATGAAATTTTTCTTCTGTCCTTATATGTATAAATGATGTTTATTTTATTTCACAAGCTGTATATCTTCAGCAATATATACATTTCCCTTTAGATGTAGAATTGATATTCAGCTCCTATACCAAGGTAAGAATTGACATAGCTGACTAAAAGACAAATTACTTTACATACAGGCTTATATTTATCTTATTTACATTTTTCTAACAGCAGTCACCCCATATTCAACAAATACTTCAAGTTGTTTTCTTCAAGAAGTCTGAAGAACACTCCCTTGCATTGTTCAAATTTGAAAACTGACCAACAGTCATGGCATCAAAAAAGAAAAGTAAATAAAGAATCAGTGGTCAACTGAACACCATCCTTACCTGTAGTGTGTACACCTAGTTGCCTTAACTATTACCCACATAGATTGCAGTCTGGTCACTTAGCCTCTCCAAAATATTTTATTGAGCAATTTCTATGTACTTAGCACTATACTAGGCTCTGTAGGAATAAGATATATATAATGCATGGGTCTTACCCACAATGAGCTTACAATATGGTTGAGTATGTTTTCAAAAACTACAAAAGCTCTTAAAAATACATATTGCACAAAATTGTTTTTACATAAAAAAGCATTTCAGATTATGAAAATATAATAAAGCCTTAGAATGTGAATCAAATGAAAAAACACTTTATCCATGAGATGCCCCTAGAGGTATTTTGAATTAAACAAGATTTAGTATAAGTCTGGATTAATGAAAAATATGATCACAGATACTTTTAAGACAGAAATTAGACATATAAGTATTTATAGTAATGAAAAGTATGTCGATATATCAAGCAAAGTGTATTTTATACAGATCCTTAAAATACCTCAATGGTTACAGCTACCTTAACAACAGGTTTGTTCTGAAAGTACTTCCAACCACTGAGGATGTTGAAACAATTTTGTTCTCTTCAGTCGTTAATATGATTTCTCTATAACCTGGTTTTATTACTTATTTAATTTTTGAAAGTCATTCTTGCAGACAGTACAACTATGGATCAGTTAGCAGTCTGAATTTTCATATATTTCATGGACCAAAGTCCACTTAATAAGACACATATACACACTTACATATAAAAAATAATGACTAATTTTCTTCTCCCTCCTTGGGAAAATTTGGATAAATATAGCTTCTGATAGAAGCCCAGTCTTCTAGCCCTAATATTCCATTTCCTTGCCTTGCCTTGGCTGTAAGATCTCTTCACATTACCCTGGTCCAACCCCTCCTGGGTTTTTTGTTTCTTTTGTTTCACACCGAGTTGAAGTGGAGTTGAATGAAAGCCCCAGTTCTGCATAGGATGGAGGTGGGAATAGGTAGAATTTTTTTTCTTCCAATGCAAAACTCATAGGTCTAAAATTACATAGAATATTTAATATGTAGTATGGAACCAAGTCTATACAGCCCACTTATAGGGCATATTAATATCATATATTTGTTTTGCATATGCATCCCACAGAGCTTTACAATAGTTACTATAATACAGTAAAACGGTAAACCAAGCACCATTTCTCCATGTGGAATGTTTTTTTGTCAGAGATCCTAAGAAATTCATTTTATTTTGAGGCTTAATTCTACCCTTAAATCTCATTACTTAATTATGAGAATTTATGTTTATTGAAGATAACAGAGAAAATGAAGATGAAGGCACTTGTTGAAAATCAGTAACAGTTGTTGAATCAGGGTCCAAAATATTTGAGAACACATGTTACAGAATCTATGATTTTGAGTAAATTTAGTAGGCAATGAATACTTTTCTGTGATTTAAAAACAAATATCAATAGTATTTCATACTGACATGTACTAACTCTACATCAGATTTCAAATTAATGGACAAAGATCATTCCTAATTATATGAGAAATATCTTTATCAAATGGTCATTATTTTTTAAACTTTTCCAATCATTTTATTATTTTATTACTTTCATATCTAGAGCTTTAATAAACATTATTATATTAAAATTGTATTAAAAAGCATGTAATCATTCTGCCTGGATAGCACATTTTTAAATCAGGAAAGTTTAGCATAAAATGTTTAAGTTGATCAACAATATGGAAACAAAGGGCTTGCTATCACATTCATTTAAATTTGCAACTACTAATCTTGTACATAAATGTTGCCTTTGTTGAAAATTTACCAAGTAAGGAGTATTTTTCTTGGTGTCAAATATTGTACTAGTGCTAAGAGACCTATGAAGAAAATAAAAGAAAAAGGCCCTGTTCATCATGAAATAGAATTTTGTTAAGGGAAAAAGACATACATAATGAAAATATTTAAGTAATAATACAATAATCATCAAAATGAGCACTATATAATTTCAGAGTTCGGGATAAAGGTAAGAAGAAAACAAAGATATTTAAATTGTTCAAGTCTAGGGACAAGGTGAGATTTGGACATATGGGAGATGAGTAAGTTTTGCATAGGCAAAAATAATCCCAGAATATTATAAACAAGAATAATATCTAGGGGTTTGAAGTTGATTCTGTCCATGACATTTAAACCCACATAGTCAGGAAGCCAGTTTATAGCTGAAATTGAGAACTCATTATATAGTTGGAGGTAAGTATGGGTAGAGAATTAATGACAGTTAAACTTACTGAGTCCCTAATTTTAAAGTTACACACACTTTACATACATTATCACAATAACTCCGCTGGTAAATATTATTATATTTAGGTTATAGGTTAAGTCACCAATAATCAATTAGATAAATTAACTTTCTCAAGGTTACAGAGCTATTGAGCGGCACAGTCAGATTTAAAACCAAGTTTGATTTCAAAATCCATGCTTTGGTTATATCATATTGTCCTATCAGTGGAATACTGTTATAAAAAAAATCTCATACACCACTGTGTTGCAGGAACAACAGTAAACCTGAAATGACCTTGGATCTGAATTTTTATTATTAGTCATATGACATTGGGCAAGCCCTCTGTAAACTTACCTTGTTTTGTAAAAATAAATTAATATATAGATGACAGCTAGACAACCACATGGATGCATGAAAGATAGAGGTAACCAGAGCATGGACATTTCTATGACGGCTGGCAAATTCTAACTGCCCAATGAAATTCATTGACTTTAAACCTGAATCAAGAGATTGTATACAACATCAGCTTTGTGCTGGTTACATAAGACCATTTCAAATACAGGTTTCAGTGAAATAAGTGTAGTTTAGAGCTAATTCACAACTGGTTCAACTGTTTAAAAGCAATGATAACTCTTTTGGATTAATTTAGTTGACAGCAATGACAATAGAGTCACAATATAGGCTCATATGGCACAACTGCTGATCCCATATTATCATTTCTTCCTAAAATATTCTTGTAGATGACAGCATGGCCCTTAGCACAATGCCTAAAGAAGGGACACTCAATAAATACATGTTGAATTAGGTGAATGAGGAGAAGGAAGCAAAGAAAAAAGAGGGGAAAAGAAAGGCGAGAGGAAGAAAGGTTGGTTGAGTTTATAAGTAGATTAGGGCATATTAGCTGAAAGATATTAGACAACTCTAAGGACTTTTTAAAGTCCACAGAATTTCTTATTTCAATTCAGACAAAATAGATCCCTTCATCTCATAAAAAACTAACAAAGTTTGGTATTTCATAGCTGTCTTACTTATTACGTTTGCCTTTTTGTATGTTGCCCAAGAAGAAATGTTCTAAAAACCTGAATTAATAGTATAAATTAGAAGGCTGTGCCTGGATTGTTTTAGGATTCTAACTCAACAGTTCATCATCTAGCCTCATTATTTTTTCTATGACTCCAAGAGAGACCTTTAAGGCATCACCCCTTTCAGTCTTCAGAGATAGAGAAATAATAATCCACTTCCTGAGTTACTAAATGACATAATAACCAGAATACAGATTTAAGGACTTTTAGTTCCAAGCTTTGTCCAGAGGGACACGACATCTCCAAAACATTAACGACACATTTTGCCTAAGTATCTTTTATCATGATACCCTCTAGCCTTCATCTGGCCTCCTTTCTATTTCATTAAAGTTTATGTCTTATTAATTGAATTCTCTCAATATGTTGACTTTTCCCTGTTAAAAACTTATGCTGATTTTTCAAACTATGTTGTGAAATCAAGCCACTATAAAATATACAGATGTCCTCATTGTTGAGATTCAGGTAGAAGTGTGAAGTTGGGAGGAAATTCCTGGAAGACAGGTTTTCTTTTTTTCACTGTTTCACCAATCATCATCTGTGAAATGTAGCTCAACTTTTAAAATGTATACTCAAAGTCCAAGAAGCCAATTTAACACTTGGAGACACAGGATTATATAATAAACATGATCTCAGTTGGTATTATGAACAAGAAAAAAACATTAAAATAAAAAAAAAAAGATGAAAATGAAGAAAATGAAAATCAAAATATAAAATTCTCCTTCTCATGTAGAAAGAAATACACAAACTCAGGGAAGCAGGAATTGCAATAAAAAGTCCAACTCCATTCTTTCATTATCTGTTAGAATAGAGAGAGAAAGGTTGTAGTAAGTGTAGATAGAGATACTTTTTTTGTATGGTGTGAGTAATAAGATCTAAGAAACATATGTCTTAGACATCAAAACATTCTTGTTTAAAGTAATTACATGTGTGTTTGTAAATATAAGCAATTTTACTCTAGATTTGTGATCACTTAAACTTCTGGATCATTTAATTATGCTAAGTATGTGCTTTTTTTCAAGTAATTTTTTTGGTTTCCAACTTTGCAATCCAGAAGAATAATCAAATAATGAAGTTAATCAATTGTAGACACATCTAATGATCAAATAATCTTGCCATAAAAACAAGCCCCAATCAGTATGGAACAGTACCCTAAAAAGATATAAGGAAGAGTACAAATTGAAATAGCCATGAAATACAATTTTTCTCCTCTCAGATCAACAAAGTATTGTATATGTGGGGGGGGGGTTTAAAGATAATATACAGAGCAGGTTAGGGTAAAGCAAAGCAGAAACTCTTATATATTGCTGAATAAATTTTAAATCTCTACAATTCTTTTGGAAAACAGACTATACAAATCTTCAAAGAATATTAAAATTTTACATATTATTTATTCCTTAAAGTGTACTTATGACAAAAACATTCACAATTTTTTTTAAGTCTGCATTTCAGTCTTTGGGTAATGATATAGTTCTATCTGCCACATTTAAACACAGCTTAGGTATGATTAAGTAAACTATAGTGTATCCTTTTAATAGACTATTATATAGTATTAAAATACTTTTAATACAATTTGTAAATTAGTCTGGGAAATGCTTATTTCATGTAAAATGAAATAAAGATAAAATAATGCATACATAATACTATCATAAGTATGTAAAACAAAATCAAGGAAAGTACAGGGGAAAAGAAGAGAAAGAAATATTCTAAAATGATGGTGGGGTTTTTTGAGTAGTGAAAGTAAAGTTTAGAAGGCTGACTTTCTTTCTGATTTTTTTTATTCTCCAAAGTTTCTATAGAAAGCCTTATAATGACAGGAAAGTACAATAAGATTTACTTTAAAAGAATTGAAAATGGAATTAGAGTGAGCCTACCAATAGAAAAATGGGAACTGGGGTCTCCTTTCTTGTCCCTTCATTTGTTTTCCATGGGAATTTCTACAGCAAAACATTGTATGTTATATGTAGACATTTAGGGGAAAGGATGTATCACCATAAAGGTTAGCTGAGTAAAAATGTTATTGGCCTTGATTTTTAAGCTATTTTCAGAACCAACCAGCTGTTTATTAAGTCCTTTAGGCACTGTTTCACACTGTATCTCTATTGAAAGACATGTCTAGAACTACCCATGAAGAAGAGACATGATTACCTTTCATTTACCTCAACCTTGGGAGAATGGCCAAAGTGAGCTGCTTGAATATCCACATTCAATTTACACTTAGTAGAGGGGTTATTGTACCCAGGCTTAACCAGGAAATGAAATCAAACAAGCATGCTGACTCTCCATTAAAATGAAGAGTGAAGTTATTTGAAAAGTGAAGTGTGCTATCTTTGAAAAAACACATGAAAACTATTCACATGCTTTCATTAAAACAAGAGATTGCACAATGTAAGAATGCCTGGAAGACCATTAATTTAAACAACCTTACAGTCAAACTGTTGGTAAGAGGTGTCTGAGGGAGAAAACTAATGCTCCATATTTAATGGGGCCAACTCTCTATCACAGCATTCAAGAGTGTTTATTCATTGAAATACATGGGTTATACAAAAGCTAGTCCAATCTCAATCTAATTTTATACAAAATCTAGTTCTAATCAAAAGGGCAAGAAAAGTGTGCTAGCCATCTGATGAACACACTGAGTTCTGATGTCTAATTAAAACAGAGGTAGCTTAGTCTTAAAATACTCCTGAAGACTGTGACTTGCAGGCTCTTCCACTGTAAGAGTTGATTGGACACAGGATCAGCCTGGAGCCAGTCTCAGAGAGCTCCGATGGAGGAAATTTAAGTTGTAAAAACAGCAACAGCTCCTTGAAAGAATCTAGTCCTCCTTATTTAAATGTGTGTGCTTACTTTGCATTTCCATTCTTAGCGATGTGCTGCCTTTGCAGCATGAACTCAGATCAGAACAGAGAGCTGTCTGTAAATCAAGACAGCTTCTAAATCTCACCTTTCCAAATGGTCACTGCACATCAAGGTCGAGGAACACTGGTGGGGTAAGGAGGTGGAGCTGGATGCATAGCTGTTTGTGTGGTGCCTGATCTGTGAACAGACAGAGGGTTTCAGTGGATAGAATCAATTGATTATGACTCCTTTTGTTACATGACACTTCCTTCACTTCAAAGAAAAGAAGGTTCAAAATTTGTACAACTCACATTGGCCATAACCAAGTAAATGAAGATATTTTAGATATTATCTTCCTGAGTCTAGTATTCCTACCTCCACGCTTGGACTCACACTCTGTTCCCACAGTTTTACACCACATATTACCTGAGTGTAGATACCATGGCTAATGTGGCTTCTAAATCCCTAGTAGTTATCACCGCACTTGTTAAATGATGAATAAAAACTTACTGAGTTTAAATAATTGGTATAGGTAAATCTAATTCAACTATTCCAGCTTTCAGTGACTTCCTGTTGCCCTTAGGAAAAAGACCAGCATTCTTACAATGACCTCAAATGTCCTGTTTGTTCCAGCTTCTGGCTGCAATTCAAGCTTTGTTTTGAAGCTTTTGTCATTTTTCTATCTTGTGCTCAGGCCATGCTAACATCTATGGACACTGTGAAGTGTCATCCTCCATCTTACCTCAGGGCCCTTGCATTTGAAGCTTCCTTTGCCTGGAATGCTCTTTAATTTCCTCATTACCTGGCTGACTCCTACTTGCCCTTCAAATCTCAAGTTGGAAGATTCCTTCCTCAAAGAATATCCTGTTGACTAGGATTGGTCCCCCACTATGTGATACCCACTCTTTTCTTTCCATTGTAAATTGGAACCAATAATTATTTGACTGATTATTTGTTCAATATTTGTCTTTATTTCCAAGCTATAAGCTTCATGAGATTAGGAACCATGTCTGGTTTTGCTTACCACTATCTTAAGCAGCTACCGGTGCCTGGCACAGAGATCATGGTTGATAAGAAAGTTAACAATGTTGCACAATTGACCCTAAATCCCATCCCTGAGCATTCTCCAAATAAGAGCTTAAATTTTTTGGATGGAAAAAAAGTACTAGGAAAAAATACCATTTCCTTTGTACACATTTTTCAGTAATTCATTTAAGAGAAATAACAAAATGAAATGAGACTCTTAAAAGAAATTGTTACAAGAAAAAGCAGAAAGAAATTCAATCTTTCCTTAGCCTTTTTTATTGGATTCCTAGTCCTTTTTTTCTCAAAAGTTTAGTTAAAACCATCTTAAACAGCATGCCCATCCCAAGTCGCATGACATTACAGAAGATGTCCCAACAGACATGTGCTTCTCTAATTGTTGACTGTGTTAAGCAAATACATCATTTCTGTTTTAGGAAGGCAGTGCTATTTGAAAGACAATAAAATTACATGTCTTCTTTGCAACAAAAATTACACTCTGGTCAATATCTATTTCAGTGCAAACAGGAAAAGGAAAGTGGAACTTTTTATAAAAATATTGTGGCTTTTTATAGAAATATTGATGTCAGGGTATGAAAAAAAAGACTATCCTACATATTGTCTGAGACTTTCAGAATCCTCTGGATGCTCGTGTATAAGAAGATGTTTCATATGGTAAAGAACAATCTGGTTATATTTGGTTCCTGTGCTAGAGGGTCACTAAATTTCTCTTCCTGCTTTCATGCTACTTAGGTTCTTAGTTAGAGGTCTGCTTCAATGGAACACATGTACTTGAGGTTGCATTATTTGTTGACTTAAATTTAGGACCAGATACAGCTATAGGAATTGGGATATCACATGGTTATCCAGATAAAGAAGGAAAAGAGGAACATAAAGAAATGAGGCACTGTAAGGTAATACATGGAAAGCAAGCAGTTATGAAGCACGGTGTGACTCCCCATTGCACTCTCTAAACTCCTCCTCCTGTGAGCCCCATTTCCCTTTCAGACACTCTCCATGACTCACTCCATCATTCTCATTAGAACACATTGCTATGGCCACATTTAATCGTTGCAGCTTACTCTGACCCCGCAGCCCATATGGATCATTCATTTCATGCCAATTTTCTGTCCTGTATGTCTCTTTTATTTTAGCCTTCTCTCACTTTTTGTGCCATTGTCCAGATTCTCACCTTCATTCTCCTTGGCTAATGTATTAGTTTGAGCTATATGAAATTGACTTTCTTGCTGGGTCAAAAATAGTTAAATATTGGCAATTATATGTAATTTAACCTACTAACAGCCTTCTAACTAACTAGTGTTTCTGACCCAAGTCTTTCTTCTCTTTATCACATCCTTCATATTTTTTTTCTAGAAGGATGTTTTTTCAGAAGGCAAACCTTGGGAAATCCTAAGTATTTCTGAAGGGTCTCTATTGCTGCAGGATGAAGTTCTGAAGTACTTAAGGCCCACCACTGAGTGGCTCCAACCTATGCCTCCAAACACCTCCAGGCTTATGTCTGGACTCTCCTTTTCATTAGAACCTTGCTTCAGTCCTGTAAACTAGTCACTCCTAAAGGTCTGCCAATGCTCATTCACACATACTTATGTGCAGTTTGTTATTCCCTTTCTAAAATGCCTGTCCCTACTTCTGTCTAGAATTCATTCTACTTATTCTCCAAGGCCAGCCTTTCATTTTCTTAGAAAAGTATCATTCTTTCTACCATATCTCCAAAGCATTGTAATCATTATTCAAGATGTACTCATCATAGGGTATTTAGTAGTCTCTCAGTTTCCCACACTCCGATTCATAGAAGGAGCCCAGTAAATGTTTGTGAATAAAGTAGAATTCTAAGCAAATGATTGGCTTTTCTCAGTGGTCAACATTATGAGGCCAAGAACTGACTAAATCCTTTAGCATACAGCTGTAAGTCACTTCATCAGGTATGATGATATGCCACATCTTAAGTTTCCCTTGGCTCTAGGAATGCATAGTTTCTATATGCCCCACATAATACCTTGAGAACAACCATGCTTAGATTTCACCTAACTGTATCATTCTTCTTCACTGGACTGGGAAGAAAGCACTTAAACATTCCATGCAGTGGTTTGCATGAGTGAATGAAACATAAGTAAGGACTGTCTTAACTGAGTACTCCCACAAACAGAACCTGAGCCAAAGCTTTGTATGCAAGTGACTTATTAAGGATGTGATCCTAGGAGAAACCAGCAAGGGAGTAGAAAAGTAGGACAGAAAAGGAGAAGCCAGATAGGGTGAAATTTTTGGTGATTCCTACCTCAGTCTGAAACTTTGGGAAACTTTGGAGTACAGATTATACTTCAAGGCTTGTCTCATCTCTAGACAAGTAGTTTGGGCTTCTCTACTCCCACTCCATGAGTCATTGCTGTTTGGAGCAGTAATAAAGCTCTAGGTCCTTCTGGAGGTCTTCAGAGGTGAGCCTCTGAAGGTCATAGGGTGAGCAGTTAGCAGTAAAACAAACCGAGGATGGGTGCATAAAACTGGTACATGGGATCTGAGAGCTTCTGGGGAGGACTCCGGTCTTGTGGGATACTACCAAACAAATATTTGGCAAGCTCAGTTTAGCTGGTTGTGGAGGGAGCTGACCATGGGCATGATTGGGGAACTCTGGGAAGGGTGTCCTGCTGAAAATAATCTTCTCCATCCCTACTACTGATGCCTAGAATTCCTTCAGCTAGGAACAAAACTTTTCAATCTATACTGAAAAGCAATATTTAAAAAAGGAATTACCTTGGATGGGATGGAGACCAGGAAGAAGCATTTATGTGGAACCATGGTGTGACAGGAAAAGCCAATCTGTTACCTTTAATTACACTTAGCACTTTACCCCTTTAATACACTGACTTTCATTCACACCAAAGTATAGGTCTTTCCTGAGAGTGTGGGACATACAGGCCATGAATGGGCCTCTCTTACACAACTTAGCTCTTATCACCTTGAAGATGGTATCCTTTATGCTTCCCAAGATCTTCCTGTTCCAAATAAGTCCTCTTCCTCTTGTTTAAGCTAAGCTCATAGATCTGCTGTGGTCTTCTTAAATTGCCAAATATGTATGATACTCAATCTGCTAGCAAAACTGGTCCTCTTTCTGGATATGAGAGCCCATGGATGTCAGTTATAGCAACTTTAATTACTAAGCCATGTCATAGGATATTTTTAAAGATTCCAGTTAAGATAGAAAAGACTGTGTGTGTGTGTGTTTGATCTTCAATTTGAATTTGACTCTTGGACAGAATTATTTTCCTGTGGCAAAAAGATTGGTGCATGAGCGGTCACTCCACAGACACCTGAACACAGCTCCATTGTTCAGTCTACTGTCACGTCCCGTTGGTGGCCCCTGGGCTGTGCAGTTTGGCCCAGGATGCCTAACGCCTGTGTTCCTGCAGCCATTCTGCCTCTGTCTGGTGACACTGTGTTAATTTGCCCGTGAGCTCTCTTCCAGCTGCATCACAGGGCTGCCGCTAGTCATTAGCTTGTCATTAGAGTTTCCTCTGCTAACCCCAATCAGCTCAGTAATTTCTCCCCATCTGCTGCCTCATCCTGTGGGGTATGGTGGCCTGCATCACTGTTTTCAGAACTGCAGTGCCAGATCCATAACATACTCTAAAGGTTAGCTGGATTCCTGAGGAACACAGAGGAAACTGTTCAATGATTACTCACCTCCCATCACCTCTCATTACCTGTGTCCTTGTTACCAATCATTCTGCCCCCACAGCTATCCCCTCCCTCTTTCTTTCTGTTCACTGGTTCCATTCCATCTGCTTTAAATACTCAGACTTCCCTTATCTTTGGAAATATTGTGCACAGAAATGCCTGTGCTTGACTGCTTGACCAATTGTGGTCCAATTTCTTGGCTCCCTCTACCACCAGCTTCTCTATACAAAACATCTGCTCTTCCTATTTTCTCTCCCTTCAACTATCTCCTAAACAATAGTTTCAAATTATAAAGCACTTTCTCTTTGTCAGACACTATTCTAACACTTTACGAATATTAATACATTTTATTCTTTGAAGATGGCATGACTATCATCTCCTCTTGATAGGTGAGGAAACTCCCTCTTATCTCCATAAAATCATTTTCTTGGTAACTTTTGGTATTTATAATCATCTCTGGTATTATAATTCTTGGGCAAGATACACCTGTACTGTGTACTAATGTCTAATATTTATAAGATTGTCCTCTCTTTTCATAAAGTATAATGAGACTTCAATAATCTGGAATAAGCAAATCCTTTTAATGATGGCTGAACCAAATTTTATATTTTCATGATAGACATAAAGGGGTTAATTGGTCAAAGTATTAAAATATATGTCAGTAGAGGCAGAATTTGAGCTTCTCCAGGGGGGGAATATAGATAATTTTAGAATGTTGAAATGTAAATCCAGGTTTCTGATATCACAGGAGAGTTTTACCTGATCCAGACAATAATATATATTATACACTTCTTTATTCCAGCCTTGAAGGCATGTGTAATGTAGTATGGAAACAATTTGAAATAACAAGAAAATTACAGAAAATGGCATGTAATCACCCTCCAGAGTATTACATGGTACCTTTTGCCATCATCTGATTTGTTGCAATTTGCCAGGCATATCCTGAGTCCTGGATAGTTCTTCTTGGGCACCGTGCCAGCTGCCACCAGGAGGGTGGTGACCCCTTTAGAAGTAAAGTGAACTAGATGTTTTAAAGTCAAGAGGAGTCTTAAAGGTCACATAATTTACAGATGAGGATGTGAGGCCAAGTTATTTTTTATCGTCCCGAAGATCATTTGCAGCAAAGTTCTGCCTGGAATTCAACTCCCTTATTTGTGTTCCATCAGGAGGTCCAGCAACTGAGCCATAGATCTGATCCACTTCTAAACCCTCCTAGAGTACAGCAATTATCTAGTAAACTTTGTTTCATAAAAAGTACAGGTGCGGATAACTGAGCTCAGTGAAGAACTAGAACGTGTGACCTGGCCACAGAAGGACAGAGATTTTTATCTGTTTTTGTTCATTGATGCAACCCCAGGGACTAGACCAGAGCCTGCCACAGTGCTGCTTAATTACTGTTTGATGCTTAACTGAATGATTTCTGTGTTTTTATGTAGAGTGTCTATAAGTGGGCCAATACAATTTCCTTTTCATAGGTGAAAAATTAAAATAAAAATTAAAGCTCAACAAAATTAAGTGACTTTCTCAAGCCCAGACCTAGAACCAGGACTAGAAACTTTGGCTCCTAATTCATTACCTAACTGTAAAAATACATCATAGAGTTGAAAAAATGATTGAAAAAATCAATTGGTTAATTATTCTGTGTAAGGGATATGAAACCTCCAGCAAAATTCTAAGGAAATGCACACAACCGGGCCATTACCTACCATCAGTATGTAGTTGCTGGTCTTGGGGTGAGGCATCGTGTCTCTTTCCGGTCCTGCTATTGCACACTATCAACAAGAAGAAACAGTTTTCCCTTCTTACTTTTCAAAGCTTTCCTTCCCTTCTTTGCTCTCTTTTCAGAGAAACATGAGAGTTGGACCCAGTGCCTCCTAACAATTATTCCCATGGCTCTCCATGAGACTCCAAGCAGCTGGAATGACATTAAAAACCCTAAAGTCTTACAACTTTCTCCTTAGCAAGATTTCATCTTTTGGGTTTTTACAGCCTTACTGTCCAAAAAGATTACACTGTAACTAGGCTATGTGACCTCCAATACGTCTATGGGAATCTTGTCTTTTAAAGGAGCTCTTTTTCCCCTTCTAAAACATTAAATATATCTTAAAGGAGAATAAGCCTCACACACAGTTCACGTCAGTTTCCTTACAGTAGTCCAGATTGTAGAAACCCTAAGAATTCAGAGAAGGGAAATAAAAGTGATTTAGGGGGTGCTGAGGTTTCATCAAGAGGTACAGGACCTCAAAACAAGAACTCATAGGAAAGGGGAAAAGCCTGAAAGCATGAGAGTCAGAAGCTCAATGCAGTGGCTGCAACGGGCACTTCACTCTGGAACTGAGACTGAGGAGAGCTGGGCAGTGACTGGGGAGCTGCTATCCGACTCAAGGAAGTCTTAGGCTTTGACACAATTTGGAGGATGACACACTGATCATTGGTAACCAAAAACCTAATATAAGAAGAAGGGTCAAATGTTAAAAATTGCCTCTGGGAGGAGCTGCCTGACGCTCTGGACAGCAGTGGTTGCTCTAATCTCTGGCATCCAGTGAATGCTGTCCACACCTCTGCCACACCTACTACATAGCCTGTTACATCTGCTCTCATCTGACTGCTGAGACTTTGAGAAGTTTGAATGTCAGCATTGAAGATATGCCTTATTCCAGAAATTTTACTTCATACTATAAAGTAACTGGGGAAGAGGGCTGCCTTCATGGTGGAGAGGGTGGTGTTTTTGGAGGTAGAAAAGTTTTTTGGCTTCCTTTACCATAAGGGGGAATTGGGTGAGAGTTAGAGCAGGTGGGGATTCTCAGTCATGGGACTAAGACAGAGTCTGAACATGACCAATGCAAGAAACATGTCAGCAGAGCTAAGAAAGATGACATCCATTTGTGGAAGGCCATGAGAGGGAACAGCCAATGGGCATAAGGAGCAGGTACCTCTGGTTCTAAATCCCACTTTGAGTTTTCACTTCCTCCCTTACCACTCACCCTGGCCTCGGGTGACGCTCTCAGCAGAGAGTCTTATAAAAGGAACTTTATGGAGTTGGAGTCTCAGAGAAGAGTAGGGAGAGGCTCACAGACAGTTGGAAGATGAAGCACCACAGGGAGAGGACAGCCACGGAGAGAAGCAGGTTAGAGAGAGGCTGAAGGGCCAGCGGAAATGCAGAGTGCCGGTTCAGAGTGAGACCTGCTTAGAAACGGGGGGACACGGAGGGCCCCTGGAATCAGCAGAGGATTCAGGAGGGGCTACGATCCCCTGAGGTCGCCCAGAATGTGCTTGCATTCTTTTATTTGATAGTAAAGGAAAAGAACTTCATATGGCTAGAATTAGGGATATTTGATAATCCAGAGTCACTGAATATCAATATCACCTGATTACAAGCTTCATGGAGGTAGGGTTCATATCTATATTGTTTCTGCTCTACACTGCTTATCACAGTACCTGACACAAAAGAGGAACTCAATAAATATTTGCTGAATGAATCTATAATCTTTTCAACAAGACTTTAACTCCTTAAAATCAGGGACTGTGCCATGATTGGTCTCTAACTCCCAAGAGCCCATCATGATGTCTGATACAGAGCGGTAACAGTTAGTACTCACTGGGGCTGATTTATGGCGCACTATGCATGTACTATTTTTCTTTAAGCTTGGTGACAACCATACACACCTGGTCAGATTCACATCCTGTCTTATCTTTTATGTGCTCCCTATCTCAAAGGTAAACCATGCAAATGGAAGAACAATTAACTGGTGTTAAGAACGTACAATAGAGACTTCACCCTTCCCTGCGCCATCCTTGCCTCTCTCTCTGACTCATTCAGTTTGGTTGGCAGTTCCACATCTGGGCTTTCCTGGCTTTCAGAACCAGAAAGATGCATCCCTATCCATGAAAAAGACTTTAAACTGAGCCTGGTTCCTAAAAGATCCTGGGCAGGGATTATTGTCCTGGAGAACCTGGACTGGCCAGAGGCCTGTACTGCCCATAATTGTTGGGTTGAGTAATGAATGTCACTAGATATTATAGTATTGTATGGCTTAGCTATCTATTATGTTGCTAATTGATTTATAATAACAATATTTAGATTAATCAAAGTAACAAAATTATTTTAACTGCTCAAAACTATTCTACTAATAAAAGGATAAGGATAGCCTAGGAAGTCATATTCTACTTATCAATCTAAAGGATAAAATATTTTAAAAGATTCAAAATACTTTCGAAGATGGGAGAGAATGAAGTTGTACCATTTAAAAAAATAGGGAAGGTATTTTCGTGAAACAATATTATTCTTTAAATCTTATCTTTCCCAATAATTTTCTGGATTGGTAGCAGTATTATTTCCCGTCTCCTCATCACACCCACAGCAGCCCTTTCATCACTATAGGTCCTGGGAAATGGGAGAGTGAATGCCAGCTCGACAAGGAGGAAACAGCACGGAGGGGCCTTTACAAACAAAAGCCTTTCTAGTGCGAGGAAGAGGGCATGACATAGAAAGAGAAGCAGGAGACGATGTCCTTGCTCCCCACCACAACTGCCTCACCATCAAACCCCAGAAGTGGGAAGGAGATGAAAAAATAGAAACTCCAGAGAGAATGAACAGCTCCAGGTTCCTGAGGCGCAGCCTCGCAGACTGGCCTACCCACGTGCATGCAACTGTGGCAGAGAGGGAAAGGCCGAGAGGGGACCACGTGATTCTCTGAGTTTCTCCCAGCCTCCACCTGGGGCAGAAGGGCCCCCCAGAGTCTCCCCGGAGTTCAGGGGAGAGGAAAGCTGAACCCCAGAAGGACTGCCATGAGGCTGCTATATTTAGGGCCAGGGTGACATCCTGCCAGAGATAGCAGTTCCTATGGGTGGGCCAGCCCACGGCAGGGGAAGGAAGTGGCAGAGCCTCAAAGGTCTTCTGTGCCAGTGAGACAACAGTGGGGTCACATCAGCAAAGTAGGGCCATAGGGCTCAGCATATGAGGAGGGAACAGTTCACAGGTTTTACCAGCCCTGAATCAACGGGCACTGCCAGCAGCTACCCAAGCAGCCCGGAAGACTAAAGTTAACTGTAGGGAGGGTGGAGAGGGCCGAATGGACGGGACCAGGACCCATGTGTAGGCAAGCTGCCTCTCCTTTCTACCCCCATTATCATGAGGGGATTTTGGCTTTTTCCTTCACACAGATGCCTTCTTGGCTAAGCTTGAGAAACCATGAAGAAAGAACATTTCCCTCAAAGAGACTGAGTTAATCCAAACTGAGAAATACAGATGGACAACATATCTTCAACTGTAAGTTTACAAACTCACCCTCTTCTGTCTCACCTCTCAGCCACCTGCCCCAGCCAGAAGAGAATTTGCGAAGAAATTTTAATCTATATAGAAAAATTTTAAAAATAAATGTTTTGAATAGTTAAGTTTAAATACCTAAATTTTCACCCTAGCTATTAACAAAAGTAGAGACTCTGAGAGCCAAACAGATGCCAATAGCATCTGCTATGGTAACAGCCCCACCTCTTTGTAAATCTGTGAATATGAGCCTTTGTTTTCCAGTTTAATGCATTATAAAGGTAACCAGTAAGCAAACTGAAACAGTGCCCATATAACTATTAAAAGGCCATCCTAATTCCAAACAAGTTAGGAGCATATGTCTAAAGACAAACTAAGTCTAAATAATAGGCATAAATTCTGTTTTGTTGTATAATTTGTAATCAGAGACAGTTGATAGAAGGTCTCATTTCAATTTTATGTCCACTTTTTAAAAGGTAAATCACAGGACATACAGCTCAGATAAAAAAATAAAATAATCAAATGTACTCTTACAGTGTATTACCAAATCGATAGCTGAGAAGGATTAAATAAGATTAAAGATGATCATAAATATGGTACATGCACTGAGTAATGAATTTTGTGGGAAATTAATCCTTATTCAACAGTTGAAAGCTGATTTGACTCGTACCTATTCATTTCAGTATTCTGGAGGATCTCTTAGTCTCTGAAACTGCAGGTGTGGTCACTGTCTGAGGCAAAACACATAGCCAGGAAGTGACCTGATCCCCTCAGTCCCTTCTCTGCATAGCAATAACCCTCAACCACCCAGTACAACCAAATTAAATCAGTTTCATCGTAACACTGTCGTGCAACTAATGATTAGATAGCCACAGAAGCTATCAGGGGTCTTTCATCTATCAGGTAAATAGTTCAACTGAATAGTGAAGGTCAATTCAATTTAGCATTCATTGACTATATGTCTTTAATGCAAAAGACACTGCTAAGCATTTAAAGAAAATCTTGACCCATGACCAATAAAAATGGTATAAACTCTATATAACTAAATAGTATTCATTATGTAGTGAAATTGTACTGTTTAATGGTTACTAGAAGCCTAACTTATCAAGGCATTCCCATTTCTCTAAGTGATCAAAGAAAAATGACTAACGTCCTCTAAGTCACAATATGTCCATTTGGAATCTGGATCTTATGTAAAAGTAGTTTAAAAGCCAGTTGCTTAACTTTAAATGCAAAATAATATGAAATTATTCAGTTTCCCCTATTCTCAGTAGCATATTAATATAGTATATAATAAAATAATACAATAACTAAGGTCCTTAGGCAGAGATTTAATAGATTCTCCCACATAAAATAACTCATACACAGAAAAGACAATTCTAAAAGTCATTCAACACAATATGAGAAAGGACATCCTGCCATTTGCTATTAACAAAGATGAATGTTGAAGATATGATGCTAAGTGAGATATCAGACAAAGAAAGACAAAATTGATATATCACTCAT